ATGCCCAAAGCAAAGGTGATATCAATTTTGTGAGCATCACAATTTTAAAAAGTACAAACAGAAGAAGCTTGTTGTTCTCCTGCAACCCCCCCCCCCAAAAAAAAAATTTAAAAAAATTGTGTTGCTGGTTATATTTGTTTTTTTTTCCTTTCTAAGTTTATTCAAGCATTTCTGAGAAAAACTGAAGAAGAATAAAACTCTAAGCAACATGCTAGTAACTGGGATGTACGATGTACAGAAGCTATAACAAAGAGTGAAAAGAAAAAAAGAAATTGTATGTAGGCCCATACATATTATGTCTTTATAAACATCTGTTTAAATACAATTTTCAAAAACAGAAAGACTCAGACTACTTGAATCAAGTCAACAGAGGAACAGTTAGCAGCTGCAATGTAACTCATAAAACAGTCTGCCACTAAACCATCAACAAAATGATAATAATACCTTTAGACCTTTGGAGTACCATTCCTTTTTCTATATTCATACCTGAATATTTTTAAGTCCCTGAAATTTTCTGTATGATGGGATGGTAACTTTTTCAAACTCTTGGAGCCTTTTCAGAGCAGAGTAGTTATGAAGTAGTGCCATGCTATCCCCTTGTTCATGCACAGACTGCATTGCATATTCATGAATTAAGTTTCTGAATATAAACAGCGCATTTATTACTTAACTGTCACTACTCAGTCCCATTAACAGAAGAGACTTTTGAGGAATTACACAGTTTAGAACTCTTGCTTGATTAGGCTGCAATCAGTTTGTATTTTAAACTTGTTTTGTATCCACAATTACTGATCCTATAAAAGGTACACTCAAAAATTCAATTTAGGCAATAACCCAAACTGCATGGATATTAAACATTGCTAATAATGACACTCCCACAGGCGAAAAACAAAAATTTATCCTACAGCGATGCATAGGTGCTTTGGCAAGCAATCGACATATAGCATTTTTTTGGTGTTTTGACAAAGAATATACTGAAATAAAAGAACTTTGACGTGCACAAGCTACTAAAAAAGGGCAAATAAAATAAAATCAATCACAGTAAAATAATCCAAAGAGGAAAAAAAATTTCACCTTCTTTTTCTTCTGAAAATTTCAAATGACAATTCGGTTTTTACATTTTCTTTTAGTACATTCAAATTTAATGAATCGGTTGAATTGAAGGGACAAAACCACCTATTTTTGTAATAAGTCACAGTTACACATGACACCACATTTCCAGTAAGTTTTGAAGCAAAAAATGATTGTTTTACAGGAGATAAATTAAAAAACAACTTTACCTCATATCTGATAATTGCGATTCAATTTAAATACATGAAAGATGTAAGACGTACAGAAAACTACTTTGTTATTGTGATATATGCTTGATATCTTCTCATCATCTGGAAAACAGATTTTTTTAAATAGCTGACCAGATAAGATAATAGAATTCAAAGATATAATATCAGTTCACTTGAAAAAGGTATTGAAAATATAATATCATTCAGCTTCAATTGTAGATAACATTATCACACAGCTAAACGGACATAGCAGCAAAATATTTGAGCTGCTCTGTAAGAAAGCACAAAAAAATAGCAAATTTGAAAATTAGTGGATAAAAAGCGCACAAATGAAAGAAATCTGATCCCCCCCCCGCCACATATATGTCAAATTATCTTCTCTCGACAGCAACAAATTAAACTTGATTTGTAAAATACTGGTCCCCTCTTAATTGCACTTGCCTTTCTCTCACGTTTAAAATTACAATAACCTCACCAACCTTTGGCACATACACAAGTCTTTGTTGTGTTTTTGTCAAACTTTGCTACACCTTTATTGACTTTGCTCTTTTGCCTGCTTGTTCACAACTTTGACCTCATCCATTCATTTAAATTTGAGATACGATGAACATATATAAAGAATCAAAGAGTACTTATCCCACTGGCTCACCTAAGTAAAGATGTGTCTACTTTTACATTTGAAAATGCAAAGCTCGGCTGCTCACTTTTTAATAAATGGTTGTTTTTTTTAGCAATACTAAAAGAAAAGAGAAAACATGCGCTTTGTGCTTGATGACCTTAGAAGGTTATAGGAAACTGATAACTTTTCAGGAATTCAGAAACTGGAATTTTTACTTTGAGGGGTGTCCATACAAATATTGCACATGTACTGTACATTTGACATTTCAAAACTGAAAGAATGAAAACTGTGCAGAAAAAAAAGATAAGAAAATTTACCTTCTTTCTCCTCTGAAAGTTAAAAGCAAAGACAGAAAGAAAAATGTTAAACAGTTATGAATCTAGAAAAATTCAAACATACATGAAACACCTTTACAACTGAAAACACAGCATACATTAAATCATTCAGGTAACTTTGCACCAGTACAGTTAGGCTTGTTAGCATTGTCTGAACCCTATATATCATATGATGCAGGCTTCATCTTTAAATATGTTTCATTTTAGATATATATGCATTTTACAATCAATACAAATAACTTTTGTAAACAGAGAGCTTGTTCTGTTCACCCATTAAAACTATTTGAAAGCCGGATTTAATTTTAGCAAAACCAGAACCAATGGAACATGTACCAGAAATGTGTCTGTTCTGTTTTCCTCAAACAATTCAGGAGTTTAGCCACACCACTTCTTACCTCTTTGGCTGGATATTAGTTTAAAACTAGTGAACACAGTATTAATAAAGAACCTTCTCAAATTTCTGTTAATTTGTTGGATACTGCTTATGTGCCCTTAACAATTAACAAGAATGGTTAGGAAATACTGAAATATTAAAGTCACAGCTAAAGTTTAAACTTTATTCACCTTCTTTTTGTTCAGAGAGACCCATCCGACTGAGTTGCCTTCTCGCCTCATCTGAATCCTTGTGCAGCAAATTGCCATCCAGTGCAAAGTGTACGGCCAGCTGATCAACACTTGAAGTCTGTTTGTACTGGCGCTCCTGATATTGATTAAAAAGAAGATGCAAAGGTGGGATCCTTCTCCGTGGGCTGAAAGTTTATGTAGCAGAGGTGTTTCAGCTCAAAACATTTTTGTCTTTTCTTGTTGTGTGTATTTGTGAGTGCATATGAACCTTGCAACCACACAGTTCTTGTATAAAACCAAGACAAATTTCTCTTCATGGGATGAACAAAGTTTGTCACTGACACGGTCAAAACAACTGATTACTAGAGAATTCCAGATAACTGACACATTAATAAAGGACATCGTGAGATCAATGGAAAGTGTTAATGGAGTATGTGTTCCCATCATGATATGTGTATGGTACTTCTTAATTTTCAAACCTATATTGTTTATTTACAGTGACAGGAACCAAACTTAACCAATTCATTCCTCCCTACATCTCAGGAGCTTACCACAAGAAGCTAAGGGTTATCAGAAAGGGACTTAGTTGTGTCACATACGTAAAGTGTTAGTGATGTCGCATTGGTGTAGAATTGTGCATGTAGCTTTGGATCACAACATCATGGATTGGTTTAAACAGAACACGTTTCCCAACTGCTCTAGGTTGGTGCTCATATTTTTTTTAAATAACAGAAATTTAGATGGATTCAAGACTCTTATATCACCCACCTGTGGCTGGTAGGAAAATGGTATTTGGTGAAACGTAAGTTATCACACTTAAACACTCATTTTCTCATATGATGCATCAGTGAAGCTACATAAATTGTAGCAACCTAAAGATAAAGGTTAAATAAATATGTAAACTCCATGGAGGATTCTTTCCACCTTACCTATTCCTTTTTTCCTTCTTAATTTTTAAAAAGACATTTTTCCCAAAAGAAAGCACAAAATGGTCATCTTAATGAAATTATCTTGTCATGGCGAAATTAATTTACCTTGAAGCTGTAGCGGACAATGTTCTGAGGGGCATGAGGATTGTTTGCAGTCAATATTCTGTTGAATTCTGCTTTCATCTCCTGTGGAACAAATAAAGTATGATAAGAAGAAGAAGAAGAAAGTTACTTTTAGAAAGTGTAGTGTATGGAATGTTTGTGTACACTTACATGTAAAAATAAAAGGATGCAACTCAGAAGGTCTTTGATATCTCTGCGGTAAGTATGAGAGCAATTTAAAAAAAAAATTAATAAACATAAAAACCCAAAACACAACAGGTTGCACAGTCGAGCAGAAAAAAGCAACCAGAGAATTAAGAGACTGAAATTTAACTACTTGATTGTCTCCTATGCCTTTGTTAAATGTGTATATAAAGTACTACATGAACACCATGAGCTGAGTCCTACATCCTAACATTTGGTTTCAAATACACACACATACACACACAATTACACACACACACACACACACACACACACACACACA